CACTGAAGGAGAAGGTAAAGAAGGTGTGAAAAAACAACAAAGTGATGCTTGAAAACATATGTGATACTGTACCAAAGAGATGTGAACAGGCGTGAAGTGATTTTGAAGAGGTGAGCTTGGGAATAGTGATCTTCACATGCATGTGTGCAGCTGCCATCCCTGCTGAATTCTGTTTTTTTTTCACCCCCCACTCTCTGACATCCCTCCACTTCAGTTTTTCCAGAGGTACAAATCCATTAAACACACAAAGGATATGAAAGACACCGTGGCTCTTCAGGGACCAGCGTCGGATCCATTTATCTTCTAACATGATTTATCCAGCCGGAAGTTCAGTATGTATGAACAAGAGACTACACAGTGAAATTGATTTTCTCATTGATTTTTTTAACCACTGAACAAGAAACCAATCATTTAAATGTGAAATTGAAATCTGTTACAGAGTGTCTATACATTTCATTATCCAGAGAAAAATTTATTGAATGAAAGAAATGTGACTGCTTTTCTTTATTTTGTGAGTTTTTTCTTCAGAAATTGCCATGCTGCTAAACTTATCACCCTTAATATGAGATCTGTCTGTTTTCTGGCTCCAAGTATTGGAGTCAAACTCTGAAGAAGCTCAGTTGCCACCTTTCTAAGTATTTGTTCAGTCGAGACTATGACAAATGATTTTAGGCTTGTCTAGAAAGGCCCGCTACTATGATTGGCATGTCTAATGAGATGCAGAGCACGTGCTAGGCTGGGAATTTGAGATACGTCCATCATACCCACAGCAATTCTCTTTCCATACTGCTTCAAATTGAGCTAGCGGCTGGATGATCCCAGGTGTTACCTGTCTGGATTGCCTGACGCTTGTTATACATCTCTCTTTATTGCTGAGACCGACCACCACCCTGCTATATGGCAGGTCTTGACTTACTCTACACGATAGACTCATATACCGTGCTGTAGAAATTCCCCTCTCGTACGTCTCTGTAATACGACTACCACCATCTTGTGCTATGAGGTCAGATGGTCAGAAATAAACTGAACCACTGAGGATACGGTGGATCGGTAGGTTTTAGTGACTGTGAGGGAAAACTCTGAAAATGCTCAATATCTACAGCTATTCTGAACAAGACAGATAGTATACTTGTTCCACTGTGAAGCGATCACTCTTTAGAATCTTAAAAATGGTGTTCAAATGAGTTAATAACACAATAAAGTAAATTCTGCTGCATGAATCACTGCATTATGTCATTAAACAATTATGATTGCATAAGAGGTGTGACACAATGTTATCTGCAGAAAACAGAATAATGTAATAATGTCATTTCTTATGCAGACAGGCGATATTATTACTGCTATTATTATTAAATAGGTAAACGAAATTACACTCCTGATGGAGTCTAATCGACAGTTATTGAGTCACTTTAGGACAAATTACGTAAGTATTTCGTCTCTTACCTCTATCGAGCCATTTGTTTTCATTTGCCTTGACTTTGAGATATCTTTGCAGAAACAAGCCAGTTACTGCGAATAATATTATGCTGCAAACTGTTCCCAAAGAAACTGTCCCAGCATAAAGCACTGACACACTGTTCTAAGCAACAGAGAAATGAAAATGATTAAAAGATACACTGCAGTTTAAAGAGTAGTTAGAAAATTGGGGAAATGTATTTGGTTTCTTATGGAGCATTAGATGAGAAGTCTGTTTGATAAATATGCTACAGTCAGCAGCTGGTTAGCTTAGCATAGGCTAAACACTTAAAATGGCGAGGCTGCATTTGTCCTAAGAGAACAAAATTTATTTACCAGCTCCTCTAAAGGTCAAAAACACACACGGGCAGCCAAAACATTAAAACCACTGTGGACAGTGAACAACATTGATTCGTCAGTTGCAGTGTTCTGCTGGGAAACCTTGGGTTCTGGCATTCATGTGGATGTTATTTTGAAACATTCCACTCAAATAAAAATTGTTCTCCATCAGCAGAATGCACCGCAACAAATGCTAAGTAACGGCTTGAGAAACACAGCAAATAGTTCAAGGTCGCTGGCCTCCAAAGTTCGACGGGATGCACCAGAACAACTCCGGTCCTTGGAGGCCTCATTTTCAACCCACAGGACCCAAAGGATGCCAACATCCTGGTGTCTGACACCAAAGGACGTCCTGGAGTCCAGCAGTTCTTCTTCAGCTGTCCTGGCAGCATGAGGGTGACCTACACAGTGTTTAGCAGGTAGTTTTCATACTGTGGCTTATTAATGTGCCTTATTTATTTAATTTGTACAAACATGAACTGGAGTCTCTGCTACTTGCCAACCTTACAGCATCACATACGCTCCAGAGAGTCACTCTTCCACTTCAAAACATAATCTGGCAGTTAGAACCTTCCTGTAAAATCACAACATGATGTGGTTGCGCTTGAGTTTTTGAACTGAATAAACAGTGTGTTAATGAAGGAGCTTTAACAGTGCTGGTAATGGATTTTTCAACCTTCAGAGAGAGCTATTCCTACTGCATCACCTTATTATGCTAAGCTAAGCTAGCCAGCTATAGCATCACATTTACCATACTGTATATGAGAGTTGAATTGAGCTTCCTTCATAAGTCTGCAAGAAAGCAAATACAGTTATGGAAAAAAATATTAGACCACCCTTGTTTCTTCAATTTCTTGTTCATTTTAATGCCTGGTACAACTAAAGGTGCATTTGTTTGGACAAATATCATGATAACAAAAATAAATAAATAAATAAAAAATAGCTCATAAGAGTCTAATTTAAGAGCTGATATCTAACCATTTTCCATGGTTTTCTTGATAATAATCAAAATCACATAAGTTCTTACATCAATAGCTATGGCATTGTACTGCAAAAAACAGTACGTTTAGGCATTCCTTCTTTTCTAGCACTGTTGCCTCACAGCAAGAAGGTTGCCAGTTCACGTCCCGGTGGGGGCACTGGGATCTTTCTGCGTGGATTTTGCATGTTCTCCCTGTGCAGCGTGGCTTCTGTCCGGGTTCTCTGGTTTCCTCCCACAAGTCCAAAAACATCTTGAGGTTAGTTCTAATCTGATTCTAAATTGTCCGTAGGTGTGAATGTGAGTGTGCTTGGTTGTCTGTCTCTAAGTGTAGCCCTGTGATAGACTGGCAACCCATCCAGGGTGTCCCCTGCCTTCACCCTGAGTCAGCTGGGATAGACTCCAGCCTCCCTGTGACCCTAATGAGGATTAAACGGTGTATAGATAATGGATGGATGTTTTCTTTTCTATCTGTTTTAGTCACATGATACACACAGGAGTTACTACCTGATTGCATAACCACTGTTTTTGATGACTGCAGCCATGCGTCTTGGCATGCTCTCCACCAGCTTCTGACATTGTTCTGCTGTCACAGCAGCCCATTCCTGTTGCACAAATTCAAACAGGTTTGCTTTGTTTTTGGGCTTGTGGTTCTCCATTTTGGATTTGATGATTGTCCACAAGTTTTCAATTGGATTTAGATCTGGTGATTGAGCAGGCCAAGGCATGGTTCCAATGCTCTGGTTCTTCATCCAGGCTTTCACTGACCTCGTCGTGTGGCAAGGGGCATTGTCTCGTTGGAAAATCCAGTCATTGGAGGCAGGAAAGAGTTTTTCAGCTGATGGAAGAAGACTGTTTTCAAGAGTAGCCCTGTACATGACCTGGTTCATTCGCCCTTCACACAATTGCATTTGCCCTGTTCCACCCAAACTGAAACAACCCCAGATCGTCACTGATCCACCCCCATGTTTTACTGTAGGGGCAAGACAGTCTGGTTTGAAGGCTTCTCCAGGCTTCCTCCAAACCAGTAAGTTGGCTGGAGTGGGCATCAACTGAAAATTGGATTCATCACTGAAGAGAACCTTAGTCCAGTCATCAACAGTCCAATCCTTGTGATCTCCAGCAAAGAGTAACCGGGCTTTCCTCTGCCTTTCGCTGATGAAGGGCTTCTTGTGTGTCCTGTGTGACTTCAAAGAAGTGGGTTACCGAACAAGTCACATTTCTTGATAGTGCCCGCTCATTTTTAAGGTCCTTGGAGGTCTGATGATGATTCCTGACACAGGAACAGATGAGTGCATGGTCATCTCGTGGGGTGGAAAGATGTTTCCTGCCACGACCAACTAGCTATTTGGCAGTACCATGTTGGGTTTGTTTTTTTCTTGTTGTAATTAATGGCTGTCTTGGAGATGTTCAGTTTTTTCGCTACCTGTCTCTCACTCATGCCAATTTTCAGCAGTGCCAAGATGGCTGCCTTTGTGGCTTCACATAATTCTTTTGTTTTAGGCATTATGTGAGAGCTGACAACTTCTGAGTTGTGCTACGGCTTGAATGTAAACAGGAAACCACTCTAGGTCTTTGCATGTGCAGTGCTGCTTATGACATGAAATGGCCTCTTATACACCCTGGGAATACAATTAAGTGTTCTTTATATTCTTCAGGCAATATACCTTTTGTGATTCCAGGCATTGAAATGAACAAGAAACTGAAGAAAACAAGTGTGGTCTAATAATTTTTTCCATGACTGTACATGAATTTCAAAAAAGTTTAACTACTTCTTTGGATTTTTAAAATGTCATGAGCTCTACGGATACAGATTGATCAAGTAAAAGCAAGCAACATATTTTTGTTGGCTACAGTGGGTAAACTTCAATGTAATGATTTATGACTTTATTACACAACCTATTAACAACTGTATTGGGACATTTACGTTATGAGAAGTTATTATCTGCCAATATATTTTTAGGGTCTTCTGGGGGTGGACAACTTGTTGAGAAGAAGCCTCTCATTAACAGAGCTTACCATTCACACCATGTTCAATTGAAAGGTCATAGGCTTGCATAATCCCAGAGCTTGGCAGGTTTTAAGTGCTTAGATTGGCCCGGGATGTAAGTTCACAAATTGCTCAATTTCCAGCAAAAATAGCACACACGCACATTTCTGTGGTTGCACAGCATAAACAATGAAATGTTCCATGTCATGATCATGAAAACACGGGACACAGCCGGTGTAGTATTTACATCAATCTGTATATTTCAACATATATTTATACAATTTTCTGATTCATTTCAATGTGCACGAGCCATTACAGACAAATAAAACTCATATTGAACAGATTTACATATATTACTTCTATTTACAGATATTTAAGTGCTGCTTTATGTACAAATACACCATACACTTGGAGAGAAATGTACATATAGGAGTACACAGTACACATAGTCTACATATACACAATATATATATTTATATATATACAGTCTTGATACGATATACATGATGTTGATACAATATGTATGTTCTTTTGAGGCATCCCATTGTGGTCTGACAACCATTATGGTGCTGTGCAGGAAATTGTTTTTGTATAGAGTGCAAATGAAGCCACAACACAAAGCCCCCAATGGTGCAGGATGTCAGAAAAAAAATCAGGAAGAGTATTGACGTGTTCTGTGTGGAATGTGCGAGCTTCTCCGCAGTGTTCTGGGAACAGCCTGTGGGAAGGTAGCCTCCTCCAGCAGCGGTCAGCCTCACTTCATCAAAGCACCCTGACACTCATCTTGTGTATGTGTGTGTAGGTGAATATTCCCTTAGTTCTGAAAGGAATCCCATTTACCTCTGCTGAGAAGAAATGGCAGCCATTATTTGGTGAACCTCACAAAGGACCGCCTGCTGCTCCATGAAACAATGTCTTGAACAAATTATAAAAATGTGGACACACGCAAGGACTGAAATGATAAATGTACCCTCCATCTATGATTGCTTTAGTTTTTCTTCTGTTATTTTACTTTTTTTTTTGTGGTAGGTCAAAGGAAAGGTTTCAATGCGACTTACATAAGCCACTAAAATGTGGTTCTAAGCAAAACAACACCATGGAAAGCTAAACACAAAAGACGAGGCGAGCGCCTTGGTTACTTAGAGATGAGCGGGCTGTTAGACCTCCTGGCTGCTATATGTACATTTTATCATTAAAAACACTCTGACAGGAAAGGGCGTTTGGCGGCTCTACAGGGAGACAGAAACATCAAGAAAAGCATCTGGATTCCTGGTTCTTAAAAGTACTCAAAAGAAATCACTTTGGGATTCTAAGGAACTTGACACCTGCATGATTTTATCAAAGAATTATGAATGCACGAATGCTTCTGTAATATTTTTGCTCAAGTTATGTTAGAAAGAACACATAGGCACATAGAATCCAGCCAAAAATCCATAGTTAATGTGTTCATGTTTTGTGTGTTCATGACAAATTTTTAACCTTCTTCTTCTTCTTCTTCTTATTTTTTTACTAATTCATGTTTTCCAAGCAAAAGGCTTGACTTTCTTTTAATTTTTAGGCTTGGAGAACTTTTCAGAACCCATCAGTCATGTCCAAAGCAAATATGAGCTCGCACTGTATGTGTGTCTCAATGCCACTGCCAGACATGTGTTCACTCTGCCTGAATGGAGGACTTGGGGGAATTGTCCAGCTCTCTCCAGTTGCCAGTGCTGCCCGTTGGGCTCCGATTGGTTATCTTAGTCAGCAGCGTTGTCCTGCGCAGACTGCTGTCTGAGTCCTCTTTCTTGAAGTCAGCGTTCATTTTGCGGCAGCAGGAGAAGCAGTGCACAAAATCCTGGAGGAGGTGACCGCTGAAGATCATGTATATCCAAGGGTTACAGCAGCTGTTGAGACTGGCAAGGAGTGCAGACAGAGTCACTGCTGTGTTCTCAGAATCTAGAGAACAGAGGGAGGAAAGAGGAAAAGGATAATTTATCCGTAAAACATCTGGTTCAGGCATGGCTGCAAAGATGCCTGTCAAACCTAATTCCTCTGGTGTTTGAAAGTGTTTTTCTTTAAAGAAGGGGAAACTGGCAAAACACAGTTCAGAAAGTCAGATTATAAAAACCTCTGCACAAATCCAACACATTTTAAGACTTTAAAAATCATGTGTCATTTTCTTGATATTAGTGAAGGAATCTGTTTATCCCTACACAATGATCTTGTCCAAGAAAAGTACATGATGCAAAACAGAAAACTAAAGCCCTTGCAATATCAGTGTAAACTTGGTAATATTGTTGTGATGCTTCACAGGGGATAAGGTAGAAATTCTAGTGTTTTTATTATTATTATTATTATTATTATTATTATTAGTAAAGAGAAGACTGAAGTCATGGTATCATATCACTCTAACTTTAAACAAAATCCTTTTATGCTGTGAATTGCTCACAGTGCTGCACCCTGTTTTTCAGTAAAGCAGTTTGTAAACAACAGATCAGTGTAAACAGTTTTCTTCTGTGTTTTTGTAATCACGTTTACTCTCTTCAAACACAGTTTTAGCTCTGTGTGCCAAATAAGTTCGTGCGTAAAGGCTGTGCGTAATTGGATTTGTCTTTGCGCACAGTTTTTTTTTTTTTTTTTAATTCTATCTTACTGGCCAGGGAAAGCCTCCGTGTTACTCTTTGGCTGTAAATCACATAATGTCTTAAGTGGTGAAAGTCTGACATGCACTAAGGATTGATTTCACTTCTTTAGCACTCACCAGCCCACTGGAAGTTTTCATCCCACACAGACCACATCTGCACGATGAAAAACGGTGCCCAGCAAATGATGTACGCCAGAACTATCACAAAAGTCATTTTAACGGTCCTCAGTTTGGCTCTTGAGATAGTTGTGACGCTGCTGACTGAATTCTTGCCAATCAATCCGTTCTTGCTCGCAGCCCCAGCCGTTGTTTTCCTTTTCTTATATTTGATATTTTTCCATATAGTGTGGCAGATGAACCCGTAGCACATCATGAGAATGACCACGGGCACGAGGAAGATGCCCACCGTTATCCAGGTGATGTACGCCTTGGCTCCCCAGGGCTCGATGAAGTGCGCCCAGCAGTCGTAGACGTCGGAGCCGTTCTTGATCTCGCTGAGGGAGAAGATGAAGTACTGAGGGGTGCTGAGCACCAGGCTGCACATCCACGTGGAGATGATCATGATGTATGAGCGCTGGGTGGACTGCTGGAGGGTTTTCAGAGGATGGCAGATAGCGATGTAACGGTCCAGGGTCATCATCACCATCATGTAGGTGGACGCAAACATCCCCATCACCTGGAGGTGCTTCACTATCCTGCACAGAAAGTCTGGACCGTAGAAGCGGAAGGTGATTTCCCAGCACAGCTGCGGCAGCACCTGGAAGAAGGCGACCACCAGATCAGCCAGGCTGAGGTGTTTGATGAAAAGGTGCATCCGCGACATCTTCTTCTTGGTATTGTACATCGCCAACAGGACACTCACATTCCCAATCACAGCCACCACGAAGGTGATGCTCAGGACCAGTATCTCGATCTGGGCCACCTCCTCGTTTCTCGCAAACGGATCGGATCCGTTCGGGTGGACGGTGTCGTTCCCAGACGTTCCCATCGTCAGGTCATGAGTGAGACTGAAAACCAGAGAGTGGTTCTCTCCGCTCAGGAGCAGCACATTGTCAGGAGTGTGCATGGCACTGCCCCTCTGTGCGCCCTGTAGATAAAGTGCCAGAGGGGCTGTGAAGTGCCTCTCCAACCCGTATATGGAGCTACCTGATGCTCACACACAGGAATCTGTTGCTCCCTGACTTGTGGCTGCTGTTGGGGCTTTTTAAACTCGATTCAAATTTCAGAGAGCGTGTGCGTAAAGCCGATGCACTGCAGAAAACAACACGCCCACCAGTTATTTGGTGTGGTGATACCTCTCAAAACAAGATATGGCATGAACTAGAATCCTTTTAATTTAATGCATTTGCATGGACACACGTTATACAATGTATGAAACGCATTTTCTCAACTGTAAAGACGTGGCTTTATATTACATGAAATGCGTAAAAACAGAAAAACTGTGTTTTAACAGTTTGTTTTTTCTTATTTCTTGTCTTGCTTAAGGATAATAAAAAAAAGAGAGTTTTAAATGTTTTCAACCGAATTAACATTAAATGAATCATACTGTATGGCTGTTAAGTATTTTTTGCAGTGTGGAGTCGAGCCCTTCCCTTTAAGCTTTACACAACCTCCACATTACCACAGCTCTTCCCAGTCCTACTGTAGCTCAGGCCACATGCATAGGCAGCAGTCTTCTGGGCAGAAAAAAAAGTCAGAACAGAACTTCAAAATTTTAAAGGAGTGAATTGAGTAAACACAACATGTAAATAAGCTGAATTGGAATATTTGCAGTCCTGCATGACACTCATACAAAATAAATCAAGTATAAACTATTTTAAAAAATGGCATTTCCAATGTAATGAACTATAGTGGATGCATCCCTAATATAATATAATATATTTTAGCATAATGTGAAATGAAAGCATTCAGAACTTTCTAATATGATTCTGTTGTGATGATGCATTTGCGTCAATAGGAATGCACTTAGAGAGGCTGTTTGCTTTCAAGGCCTGTAGCAATGTTGAGCTGTTTAAAGCTGCAGTGGGTTTTTCAAAGAAGCCCAGATCCGATGTTTTGCATGTAGCCACATTTTAAACTAAATAGACCATTCAGGGTGGACAAAATCAAAACTTAATCGTTAAATATGTTCAAATGAAGTGCTGAGTGATTTGTTGTTGTGTTTGTAAATCTATGTGCCGTGTGTGCCAGCATGTGGTTCTGCCTTATATAAGCTCAGCTTCAGTTTTATTCACATTGTTGGTTACATTTAATAGAATAAGCCTCTAGAGAGGTATCATCTGCTTTTCATCATCTACTCCATTTACGATCTTGTTTGGTTAGATCTTCCAACTCGATACATTTGAGTTAAACAGAGTTTGGTTTGTGGTGCTCTCGACATCCAAAACAGTGTCTTGGTTATTGCGGATGATCCGCAGACCTCACCATGGAACTGCTTCCAAGGAAAGGAAGAGACCCTGTAAAAGCATTTTTGTGTGTTTTGTGGATTATCCACAGTAACAGAGACACTGGAAAATCTAACTTTTCACACAAAT